TTTTCTTCATTGAATTTTGAAACAGCGAAATCAATTACATAAATATCTTTTTGACATCTATACATTTAGATGCCATTATTTATCATCATTGAATAATAGAAAAAATACCTTTAAAGATCACAAACAATTATTAAATAATTTTTTTACAAATATGAACTTTCTTCGACATCTATTTATAATCAGTGAATAAAATTCTCATTAACTTTTCATATCTACGTATTTATTTAATAAACATTACTTCAAACAAGCCAATATATTTGATGATATTCTATGATATAATAGTTAGGGTGAGTATGTAGATGTGAAGAAGGATCAGCGCGTATGTTATTTGTTATCACTCATCATCTATCTTACCCACTATACGTCATTAGCATTCTCCTGTCCGACTTCTTTCATCAAGTTATTTTCAATAGTGTGACATCTATAAACAAAAGATCCAATCAGTCAATAATAAAAGGAGATAACACTTGGGAAATGAACTGTTGTTCGTTTGTTGAAAGACCATGTCTCCAGAGTGCATGTCTTTATTTTTTAACCTTACCAATCTCAAGCACATGGCTTCTAGCATCTCATACCCGCTACGACATTGGAAAGAAAGCTTGGTAACCATGAGAACAACAGTCATTATATCATGAGGTTTCGATTCTTCTCTTTCTTTCGATAACGAAGCATTCGTTTCGTTGCTGCTTTTTGATGCAAACTCACATATTCTGCCGTGTTAAAATGGAAGATAAAAAATCCTTCAGTAACAAACCAAACACACTCGTATAACAACCAACCAAAAAAAAGCCATCAACAAAAGGAAGAAACAAACTCCATCTAAGGAGACGAACGAATTTCTTTACATCTCCTATCTCCGGCAAGTATTCATTTATTCATTATTCTAATTTATTGCCATTCGACGACGACTATTGATTTATCACTTACAGTATGAGTGTAGATGAAGAAAAGGCAACACCCACACCCATGTTTTGCTGTCGTAACTTTGAAAAGTCATGGAATCTTTTTCAAACGTTTTACACTAGCAAATGAATCTTCATTCTTTCGCTGTGCCGTTATAACAGATTGCATGATCAAAAAACAATGTGATTATGTGCGCACAGAACGAAATAGCAGAAAAGAGAAAGCAACTGTTGAATTATTTCGTTGGTAGAGAAAGTGGTAGTTTTTTCTACAAGATACTGATTGACTCAGTGCAATCATGCTTTGACATTGACTGTAAATCAAAACATAAATAAGTGAAAGTTGGCAACAGTAGAAGCAATATTTTGCCGTTCTTTTCCATTGAAGCCAGGCAACATCCTTCAGTGTCAACAAAACAACATAAATGGATAATTGAGAAAGAAAAATCGTTAAAGAAAATTTTTGTTTGAATAAAGGAGCTTTTTCGTTAAAAAGCATTTATTCATTCATTCATTCATTCATTCATTCTTAATTTCAGTTCCACGACGCATATAACTCTCTACGCTACGTACAATATGGGCTGCGGTGCATCAGTGCCAACAGTTAGTTCTTTCAACAACCATCAGCGTATTAAGGCAGTCACGCCATCATTATCACTATCACCCACGACTTTAAACCAGCAATCAGACTCAAATGGTATTGCAAAACGGGGTTGTCGCACGGATTCACATGAAATCGTTGAAAACTTTCTATTGATTTGGCTCGATGCAAAAATCGACAAATCCAGCGAGGACTACCATAATTCTATCGAACATCTGCGACGCACTGTGAATACTATTCAAACAATCCAAGATATGAATGAATGTGTCAAGTATATTTCACAACTTCAAAATGAAAAGGCATTTCTTATTATTTCCGGTGCTATATGTGAAACTTTTATACCACGTATTCATCACATGACTCAACTCTATTCAATTTATGTCTTTTGTCGGAAACAATCACACTACGAAGAATGGGCAAAAGACTGGTCCAAAGTGAAAGGTGTTTTCACAGATATTACTGCAATTTGCGATTCAATTCGACAATCTGCTCGACATTGTGACGAAGATTCGATCGTAATTAGTGGTATATCGTCGCTGAATGAAATAGAACCGTCGTTCATATGGACACAACTTTTCAAAGAAATCATTCTTGAAATCGATTTCGACGAAAAGAAAGCAATCAATGCTTTGGTCGAGTACGCCCGTGAGAAGTATTCCCGCAACTATGAACACTTGAAAATTATCGACGAATTCGCTCGAGAATATCGAAGCCATTTAGACGAAAACAATAAACCTATCTGGTGGTATACTCGGGAATGTTTCACATACCATATGCTCAACAAAGCTTTGAACACCTTACAAGTTGAGATTCTACTCAAAATGGGTATCTTTATTTGCGATCTTCATCGAAACATCGTGAAACTTCATTCCGAGCAATCGAATGAAATGCATGGCCCAACAACAACAATTACAGTCTACCGGGGCAAAACCATGGTCAAGCAAGATTTTGACAGTAAAATCAAACAAGGTGGGCTCGCATCGTTCAATAATTTCTTATCAACAAGTGATGACCGAAATGTCGCTATTCGTTTTATTAAGGAAGGACTCGACTCTACTAACAAGAACAAAATCGGTGTTCTTTTCATAATGACAATTGATCAATCGGTTTCATCGGCTCCGTTTGCCTGCATTGACAAAATTAGTTATTTCCAGATAGAAAACGAAATTCTCTTTTCAATGCACACGATTTTTCGCGTCCAGCAAATTGAAGAAATCAAAGAGAGTGGAATGATGTTGTGGCAAGTGAAACTTACACTCATCACTGACAGTGATAACCAACAGCTCAAGGCTCTTACCAAGCAAATGCAAGAGGAGATCACTGGAACAGGGTGGACGAGAGTAGGTTCATTGTTATGGAAGCTGAGTGAGAATCAAAAGGCTGAACAAATGTACACGATATTACTCGAACAGACAATCAATGAGAGCGATAAAGCGTATTGTTATAACCAAATTGGAGTAATCAAGGGTAACCAAGGAGAATATAAAAAAGCAATTGAGTTTTACGAAAAATCATTGAATATTAAGGAAAAAACTCTCCCACCAAACCATCCTGACTTAGCTACTTCGTACAATAACATTGGAGGTGTGTATAAAAATATGGGCGATTACTCGAAAGCACTTTTATTTTATGAAAAAGCACTCGATATCTGGCAAAAAACTCTCCCTCCTAACCATCCCTTATTGGCTACTTCCTACGACAATATCGGTTTGGTCTATGATAACATGGGGAAGTACTCGAAAGCACTCTCATGGTATGAAAAATCACTGGATATCAAGGAAAAAATTCTCCCTTCGAATCATCCCGACTTGGCTACTTCCTACAACAACATCGGCTTGAAGTATAATAACATGGGCGAGTACTCGAAAGCAGTTGCATTGCTCGAAAAAGCACTTGATGTCAGGCAAAAGTCTCTCCCTCCAACACATCCGCATATCGCAGTATCTAAAAGAAATATTCAACTTGTGAAAGAGAAATTGTAATTTTTGTTTTTTTACTAAAATAAATAAATTTCTTTCAGTTCATTTTCTTATAATTCATTACGAATTGTTTTTTCTATAGAATATTTCTATTCGACCGCACGTGACCAGAGAGATCCTCAGATCTTATCGGGATAGTAAAATTGACGATGTTGGTAGTGTTCAAGCAACCATACATGTATGTCTAAGACTTCTCCATACACTCTTGTACCTACCAACAGGAGAAGATGGATATGAGTCTTCTCTTCACACTCACATGCACATCCTTCCATAAAAAAAAACCAACCGATAAGACTAAATTAATCTATGAATATTGGATGTACTTCTCACTGTACACAATTGTTCCTTTTAGAACATACTGATTCGGTAATTTTCACAAGTTTATTCAAATATTTCAAATGATCCAAACCAATTTTCGAATTTGCGGATTTTATCCCATGTGAACAATTCTGGATGTTTATGTTCAGTTTAGAATAAATTTATTCTTGTATGAACTAGATCTTGCCAGATTTATCTTTTTGCAAGTCTATTGATATGAAGAATCAAAATCTATTTTGATTTATTATGAGTCAAAAACTCGACAACTGACTATAATGCTAGTGATCATATTAAGAATAGTATCATCATGTATTCATCATACTTCTTTTAGAGCTTCGTACAGAAATCGAATATTCAAGTTAATAATCGTTAAATTGATTCAATCTTTGATAGAAAGAACCGAAAAAAGTACAAACAACAGTTCCTGTGCAGTTGTATAGAAAAACATTAACTTAATACTCTCTTTTTCAACTTTACTGTCAAGCAGTGTCTTTTTATTGAAGAAATAGAAAGTGAACAATAAATAATCGCTTGTAAATATGATACTAACGTAGATCAACGGTAGATTATACTTCTTCAATCTAATATCAAACTATTTTTCCACTTTGTCTTTCATTCTACGAATATTCCTTTCTGTTCTAATAAGTTCGTCATGAGTAGATAGTAAAATTTTACACTAAATATTGATTGATTTTTCATAGTATTCTAATGCTTTTAAGTAACTTTCTTAACTTTCATATAATGTTCCTAGATTATTGTAAGTTACAGCAATCTGTGAATGATTACTGAGTAAGACAACTTGTCGAATCTTGAAAGCTTCGCTATAATACTCTAGACTAAAATCATATTGTTCTGTCAAATCGTATGTAGTTGCAATGCTATGATAAGTCTTCACGACAGCAAAAGAATTAAACGGAAGTGTTACTTCTTGGATTTTGACTACTATTTTAAGATTAGACAACGCTTCTTTATAATCTTCTCGAACATACCAGTGTAACGTGCCGATAGAGTTATAATAGTCTCCAATGTCCGCATGATTTTGTCCCAAAAGAGTTTGTCTTATATGTAATGTTTCTTGCAGATTTTCGAGACTTTCGACAACTCATAACAATCAAGGTATGTTAAGCCAAGACATGATTCAGCTCTTCCTACAGCAAGTCTAGTCTCATCCAACATCCGTCTGTAGCATTTTCGTGCTTGTTAGGGTTCATCCATTTCTAATAGAATCTTCCTAAGAGAATCCAAATCAGTATCATCACCAAGAGTGCTTTTCATGTAAGAAAACGTTTCTTTCAAATGATAATCATCTTCACTTGCTGCTGATACACGAGCTGCCCATATTCGTTTCTTCTTGTCTTCATTTACTTCTTCAATCCAAAACAAAGCATCAACCATAATTGATATTACATCTTCATATTGAAAATAACTGATTTGAGTAACATCATCAAAAGCTTTCGTTTGTAAACGCAGATTAATTTCAATTTCGAATATAATCTGTTGAATATAATTAGTTTTAGGAGTAGCTCGAGCAAAGTGAAGAGCAGTTGATCGATCACGACTTGCTGATAAAAAAGAATTCATTGAAAGGAATTCACCAATGCTATTCTTCATTAATTGAAGTTCATCATTTCTAATTATTTGACCACAGTAAACGCGAATAATATTTCGATTGTCACAAGTACGAATATATTTTTCATATTCATTTTTGATTTGTTTTGCAATATTAGTAATAAAGAATCGAAGTGCAAATAGCATATCAAAATCTTGTACAAGTAATGCCTTTTTTCATTATTTGATAAAAACATGATTCTCATGTATACCACCAGATGGCATTTTCTCCTTTATATGTGTGTTCAAATTCATCAATAATTTCCGTCTCTTGCTGATTACCCTTATAACTATTCTTGTAAATGTCCAAAAGTTCTTTATGATCATTGAATTTATGATGCATATGAAGAAGAACTTCAATAAACAATTGGAACCATATAAAGATAGCATCACGAGCCTGTAGTAAAATCTTGTACTTGTTCATGGTATTTTGGATCATCTTTATTAGTTCTGAATATCCGTATTAGATTGAAATATTATTAAAAATAAATCTCAATTAGATAAATGCTTATTTTGTCCTAACAATTGAGAGAGAAAATTGCAGCTTAGATATTGCTGAACATTTTTCATCAGGAAACAACATAAAATAGTGTTTTTTAGGTGTAGATGAAATATAACTTATACTTCGTAATATAGCTTTACTGTCCAGAAATGTTAGCGAGTGAGAATTCTTGTTCATTATTTAAAACAGTAACTATTTAGTTGTTATCTGTTTACATCAATTTAGAATGTTGTTTTGGACTTTCATTATAAACCTTCTGACTCTTTTATTAGTAATATTGATTCGAACGATGGCAAAAATTAATTTTCCATAAAGTTAAATATTACCAAATGATTAAAAAGTAGCTGTCATATTCCAATAGTTGCAGAATTATTGCCAAGGATAATTTAGAATTTTTGAGAATTGGTAAATTTTGTAATAAAATTCACATATTTCAATTATATTTCTTATGCTATTTGAAATGAGTATTTACTCAATAGACCCTATTAGATTTGCGTTTCAAAAAAGACAGGTGTGGGTGTGCGCGGAGAGGAGATCCATATTCATTAGATGGACTCTCCATATTTTACTATGCGCCTGTTTTCAAAATTTTGAAATCCGCAGGTTCACTTTCTATCATATATCTATACTTAAACATTATAAATGGACTTTGTCACTATATTATAATCAAAATATTCATGTATAGTTTATAATATTGCGTCATTATCAAAGTTGTTTATCGTTTGAATAAGATTGACTAACTTTGTGTACTTTTAATGATATGATTAGAAAAAACAAAAAATGCAGGTGGATCTTTCGAGAAAAACAGAAAGTAAAATGGTTGAAAAAAAAAGAACGTTGACTGACGACGTTGATAAAGTCAGATAATAAATAAACATATCTATAAGAAAAGAACAAAGAAGCGTTCTAAATACAACCTTACTTTTCTTTTCTTTTCTTTTCTTTTATTTATTAGATTAAACTAGTTTTAATATTCAAACAATATGTTTTCAAATTTTTCTGGTCCTACAGGCTTTGGATTAGTAAAATCTTTTAATTCTTTATTTTTTCTCATGATTTAAAACTTTATTTTTCTTATATTAGCCTGTACCTTATCAAACACCAATATCACCAACACTGTCAGTTGGTACACAAATTCATGTTAGTGGTACACCTACTGGCAGCCGGTAAATTAATTTATTTTAATGTGAAGTTTTTATATATCTTTAATAATCTAGATTCGAAGTTAATCTAAAAAATTATCAGGATGATATTGTCCTACACTTCAATCCACGTTTTGATGATCAAGCACTCGTACTAAATAGTGGTATGATAAAAAAAAATTATATATGTACTCTCATAAATATTATACTATTTTGTTATATTTAGCTCAACGAGGTGCATGGGGTCAAGAAGAACGTCATTCATTACCAATGCAACGTGGAATTCGATTTACATTGGTTATTATGGTTACAAATAATGGTTTTAATGTATGTTAGAATATTATATTTTTCAAAATAAAATTTCAATTTTGTTTTTCTTATAAATATATAAAAGATTGCTGTCAATAATTCTCATTTTTGTGAATACCATCAACGAGCACCAATGCATTTAGCTCAATTAGTCGAAGTTAAAGGTGATATTAGTTTAGAATCAGTTCAAGTTTATTCGGGAGGAATGGGTAATCCAATGGGTTTTCCTTCCATGGGAGGTAACATGCAATTTAGTCAACCATCGTTTGGTCAACCATCGTTTGGTCAACCATCGTTTGGT